TCTCAGATATATCCTTGGAAGCATAAACAATACACATATCATCTGCATACATAAAAACGCGGCACTTGTTTACGACATTTGACACACTATTCACATGCGTCATATAACCTAATGGACCAAATACTGATCCAGTCGGCACCCCCAGATCCACATGCATATCCTCACCAGTCACACCAGCTATCATCGTACGCATTTTCCTATTACTCAGGTAGTTCCGAAACCATTTATTCGTAGGGCCTCGTATTCCACATTCATCCATCGCCTGTAGCAGAATGTCATGATCCAGGGTGTCAAACGCCTTTTTGTAATCTATAAAAAGTGTTATAATTTGTTTACCAGCGTCCAAAGCCTCGTTTATGTAATCGGCAAATTCCGTTAGTGCTGAAACTGTACTGCGCCCCGGGTGGAAACCGTGCTGAGCATCTGACAAAATATTATGACATTCCAAGAATTTGGAAATTTGGCTTACAATAATTTTTTCAAAAAAATTTTATCAATAAAAGATAATATGGCTATAGGTCTATAATTAACATATTCTAAGTGGTTTCCTGACTTATATATACGGCGTATAATAGCATGTTTTAACTGATCGGGATAAATACTTTTCAACATACACATATTCATAAAATTTGCTATAACAGGACTTAATTGTTTCCGTATATATTTGATGTCTTTTATCCTAATTCCATCTAATCCGGGGGCTTTTCACATGATAAATTATTAATAACCTTTTCTACATCCAAAGAGCACACCATCATATATCTAAAACTCACCACACTCGGATTCACATATTGTCTTCTACTTAAAAATTTAATTTTACATTTATGCTTTATTCCTTTAATTTCTTCAGTAAATGTTTTAGAAAAATTTGTACATATTTGTATCATATTTTCTGTCTTACCTAAATGCCGCAATATTACATCATCTAGACTTACTTTATTTCGCCCCAGCCACTGGTTTATTTTTGCCCATATTTTCTTAAAGTCCCCATTACATTTTTTTTTATTTCCATCTGTCTATATTTATTTTTAGCCTTAATTATAGTTTTATTTACTTTATTTCTAAATTTTTTATATTCTAATCGCTTATTCATATTTTTTGGTTCACATTTCCACACTCTAAACAAATAGTCTCGTCTTAATATCATTTTATATCTTAAATCATCTATCTATCCACGGTTGTCTTATTAAACTTTTATTGCAAGTTGTTACTACAGTTGTACTTTCCCTATATATCCTATCAAACACAGTACATAATGTTTGAAATAACACAAGTGGATATGTTATATCCGATAATTGCGCCCAGTTATACGAGTCTAGCTTTTGTTTTATAAAATTTTCATTAAGTAATTTCCGCACACTATTTTCCCTACTAGTTTGAGTCATTATATTGCAGTTATCACTTAAATTTACCACTATTCCAATCGCATGGTGATCGGAGATTTTCGTCTCGAGCACGAACGATGACGGCTCACACTCGTTCCGTCCCGCACGCACCCACAGGTGACCTAAGCACGATGTCTCGTTCCGTCCATCCACAACCGCTTCACGTGTTATCCGTACGTTGAACACAAAGCAGACACATTTCTGTACTTGTTGTAGTTATCATTTGTGTCACCACAAAAGATGTTGGAATAGATTTTAACGTGGTCTCCAATTGATGTATGAAGAATAATTTTTTTTTTGTGCTGGTCTATACATGGCGATAATATGAGTTGTCTTGTTTCCTATTTTTAGCTGTCCGTGTAGCTAAGGCCTCTGTAGGAACTCTCCGAGCATCGAAGCTAAGTTTATCACGGGCATAGATTAGTATCCCTCCCCCTCTGGTAGTTTCTCTTGATATTATAAAGGAGTTAAATCCTGTTATTTGATATAACGATAGCTCTTCTTTTCTAATATTTACTTCGCTTAATATTAATATATCTGTCCTGTATTTATGTTCTTCCAATAAAACTAGTAATTCATTAAAATGTTTCCGAAGTGACCTGATATTCTGATGAAAAATTTGAATATTATTTATACTTTGTGTGAAATCATTACTCAGATCTGAAATATCATTATATCTTTTATATATAATGTCTGAAAAAAATATATCCGTTTGGGTGAACGTTGGTGTTAAATGCACTTAGTGCGTATTCGCCGCTCCGCGCGTACTATGAGCGCATCGCATTTATTTATTAGTTATAATCTTCGAATTTATTTAGGTCATCTTCCGATTTTATGTTGTAGATCTTCTTTTCTTCGCTGCTCTTTTTTACTAGGATGTTGTTGTTTTGGACCCAAATATATTGATAGCCTTTTGGTTTTAGTTTATTCCTGACGGCCCATAGGAGTTGGCGCTTGTATTTTGGCAAATCCTCATTAATAAATACGGGGTTTTCGCTGCCATTGCCATAAATTTTATTATTTGTTAATTTATTTGGCTAACATCCAGCTATAACGGGCGTTTTTAGATCGCAGTTTAACCACGACGGTTTTAATTCTTTTTATCACTAACTTTTTCTTGACCTACCCTCTGTGCTTCTTCGATATCATCCGGATTTAAGTTTAGCTTACAAGCTATTTCTTTAATTACAGACGTAATATTCTCGTCCTTGTGCATTTCCAGCCCGTGAATTTCTACATTTTTCTCTCTTTCTTTAATCTCCAGCTCCTACACCCGTTCTTCCAACGCTTTATTGCACTTCTCTAAGTAGATATTTTTCTGTTCTAATGACTTGATTCGTTTTTGCGATTCTTCCTTGAATGTTATTAAGGTTTGATACATTTCGGCGTAAAATTCTACGTTAGTAGAAAGGTCTTCAATTTTTTTCTCCATATATGGAGAAATTTTCTAGTTTGTTTCCCTCTGTTGCTTCGTACGACACCCACGAGACGATAAAGGCGTAGTGGATATTCTTACACCGCTACTGCACGGAATGCCACTATATGCGCATTTTATTTTGATAATTTTATAATATGCGCAAGACCATCTGCAGTCCGTTAATGAAATAAACAAGTTAAAATAAACCAAAGCTATATATTTAAATAATTGAATATACTAGATGACGTGTTTTACCGTCCGTAAAAAATAGGGTGTGACATGTGAACGGAGTAGAAGCCTATGGCACTGATATTTTTCAAGAAATAAAAAAAGATTTTTGAATTAAATAAACTAATTAATTGAAATCTATCGACATTCAAATCATATCCACTTTAGCCTGTGACCCTGCGAAGTGAAAAGTCAAAGATGCCTTTTGTAAAGTAGAGTGGATACGATTTTAATTTCGATAGATTGTAATTTGAATAAAACTAAATTTACGGATATCGGATTCGGATAATCCTTAAATTTAGTTTTATTCAATGTGTAGTGTTCGCGTAAATTTAAATCATTAGCTTGTAATTTATTTATTTATTTAACTCAAATTGTTTGTTTCTATTTTTTGTAAAATATCGGTGCCTTTGTGCTTCAACTCCATTCACATGTTACATTCTATTTTTTTCCAGACAGTAAAAAGGTCATGCAGTATATTTTTATTTATAATTAAAGATGAAGTTGTAGAAGCTAAACTAGGCTTTCATGAATAATTTCAGGTAAATGGTCGTAAAACGTTAGGTGAGAATATTGCTGACAACGGTGGAGTACGAGAATCACTGGCAGCATTGAAACGTCACCTACATAAATATGGACCTGAACCAAAATTGCCCGGTTTTGAACACCTGACTTCTGAACAGATGTTTTTCTTATCCTATGGCAATGTGAGGATTTTTTTTTACCCACCATTCTAGAATTTTATCCTATGTTGTATACGCAGTTTGCATACATAATTTTAGAAGAACAAAAAACCAGACCTTGGAAAATTATTTCTAGCCCATATAAATTATCGTTCCGTGCGGGATTCAAACCCGAAGCCCTTAGCGGCGCAACTCATTTCTGAAGCACTGTGCCATGGAACTGTCGATAAAGTAGAAAGTTTTTATCATATTTCAAATTAGAGCCGTTCTATATAAATTAAATCAATAAATTTTTACAACAGTGTTATTTTTCAAAGAGCAGCCAAATTTGAAACTTAATTTCGAGTAAGTATATAAATAATGGTATACCGTTATTGCAGTTTGAAAATACGAGTAAATAAGGTTTCTTTTATTTTAAATTATTCCAAATTGAATATATGGGCAACGACGTTTTTGCCTACCGATCGACCCTTATGCTTGCGCAGTAAAATCAGTTAAAGTAATGCAATACCACGCATTTTGAATTTAAAATATATAAAAGACAGAAGGTTTGAAATTTTTTTAAATTAATTTTCTCCCCCATTTGCTTACATGAAATATTTATTCTTAACGTTCTCTGCAAATTTGACCGTTTATTGCAAAATAACCCTGTATACTTGCACATTTTACACAACTAATTCTATTTTTTTAATAATAAAGAATATTAAAAACTTTGAGACGTTCAAAAAGATATACATATATATTTCGTTAAACCCAATGTAAATAAATTTTTTTTTTTTTTTACGTTCCTATTAACAGTTATTGAAAAATTGGTGACCTCTTACGACACATGTATTTCAAGCCTTGTTAACATACGCATAAAGCCTGTATACTAGAAAAAAATATAGTCTGTACAATATGTAAATTATTCATTTTTTTTTTATATTTAAGCCCATACTTATATCTACCGTAATTTTTATTCAATTAATTTGAGATGTTTTTTTTTTGACATATACATCTATCCTCGAATAAGAATCAAAATGCAGGCGCGCTGATACCACTGAGGACTAAAATAGAATGCCTGGTTTCCAGTAATAAGGGTCTCCGGTTCTCTACATCATTATACGAAACACAACAGCATTAAACTACTATTTTTCGCTGGTATACTGTAAAAGCGTGGTCCTTTCCCTATCTAGCAGACCCATTCATGCAACAAAAATAATATAGCTGCAGCAGGCTCTACCACTTAAAAAATTATGTAAAAAACTTGAAATATAAAAGATGTGTTTTATGTCGTAAATATTACAGCTTTGGTGCGGTGTCTCAACCAAAGAATCCTTGAAGAAAGATTTAGAAGACGAGCACTCTCCACAGAGGTTCAGAGCCATAGGAACTCTACAGAACTCTGAAGACTTTGCACGAGCCTGGAACTGTCCTCCTGGTTCACCGATGAACCCCCAGGAGCGTTGTATTATCTTTTGAATCCCTTAATTAAAATAATTTCTTCGATATTATTATGATAGTAATTTATCTTTCAGTATAAAAATTTAATGAACAGGGAGTGACAATAATAGAAGACTAATTATCATATATTCCATTGATTTTCTATAAAGTAACAACTAAGCATCTTAAGTTATTCGTAGAGATCATAGATATAGTATTATACTATATCTATCACAGAGATACACTACAACTGAAGATTATCTGTCATTCAAACGTAACCTATGTTAGCGATTCTCCTAACAAGTGATTTTTTGGATCTCAACAAAGCCACCTACCGGATCGAATTGTAAATCTGAACCAACTACGGACCTCTAAAGACGGCCACATACGTACATTTGTAATTCCGTTTCGGGATCCCGAACACAGTAAATCCATATAAAATCAAAGACCTATCACACACCTTACTTATAATTCGACATCAATCGTACACCATAGGGTTTTAAAAAGACCCAAAAAGTTTATTTCACTATCTGCCACGTGGTAGTGCCTGAAGCTAATCCATCACACTGGTTTGTCTATGTTAACCGTGTACCCTAGGGTATTTATTACGTGTAATAGAAGCCGCAGTGGGTCCTGAGTTTGAATCAAAGCCGGAAGCAACGTTTTGACTAAAACGAATTACCAGTTTTTAGGTGTGGTTGTGTTGGTACTTATATCTCTACCACTGTGTCATAAATCATCGATACTTAAAATGCTGATTAGTTAGAGAGTCAAATTATCTGTGATTATCTGTACACGTGTGGCGTGTGGCTTTCTCATAGGTGTCTCTGTTAGTCCTGTTCAGCTGACAACGTTAATTTGAAAGCTATCATGCTATATATTGACAACACTAACTCTCTCGTCCATCAGTGGGAACTTTAGACGCTGTTAAGATTATTTTAACGCAAGTAATTGTAGTTGTTGATAATATAAATTGTAATTCCTTGTACTGAAACCGTCGACAGTATTACCAACCGTGATATTTTGTATTAAAATTATATTATATATAAAATGAGTGTTCTTCATAATATAACAGCGCATAGTTTATTAAAGTTTGTAAATAAAATTTAAACAAATGATCCCCTGTTTTGCTTATGACCCGAATTAATTAGAATGTTAAGTATACGCTATTTATCGCCATGTTATGGTAGCGTCAGGCCCGGTTTGCATTTTGAGAAGTGACAAGTGAGAAGTAACAAGTTAGAAGTGACAAGTTTATTCACACTTGTCACTTGTCACTGCCTGTTCACATGCACTAAGCACTTGTCGTTTGTCAGTTGCACTTGCCAATTGCACTTGCCAAATGACATTTTCTACTTAACTCGCCAGGTTTCCAAGTTAACTCGCTACCGTACTTGTCGAAGTGTAAATCGGTCCAACCTATATCGTTTCGTGAGTGGCGTAAAAAGTGACAGTTGAAAATGTTTGAAAAATTAGCATCTTAATACATATTTCTATAATATTATTATAATACCCTCCAGATCAAATTTTGGTTTATGGAGACTAGCCACAAATGGTTATATTCGTATATATCAGATGTTTAATACGTCTATTTTATTTGTAATACTAGATGACCCAGCTGACTTTATTCTGTCCTTTCCGGTAGATATTGTCATAAATTTCAGTTTGAATTCTCTTCGAATTTTTTGTAGTGTAAATATAAAAAAATTTAAAAACTCGACCATAGGCCTCTCTTATCACTAATCGTGACACTAACAATGAAATATATTTAGAAGATTGGTAACAAAGAAGTGAACAGCCAAGTGGCAATGGAACTGCAAGAGTTTAAGATACTGTAAGCTCGTTCGTTCTGCGTAGATTGGACCAAAAATTAATAATTAAAATTTTTTTATAATAATAGTGACAAACGAGTACACAGTCCACCTGATGGGTAAGTGGATGCTGTGGAATGCCTGTGAATGAAAAGGGTCTCCGGTTCTCTACACGTATCATAAGAAACACAGTAAGTAGCATGAAGCTGCTATTTCAAGCTGGTATTCTGTGAGAGCGTGGTCTTACCCCGGTCGAGCCGACCCATTTTTGCTATAACCATAGCACAGCTGCAACTTGGCTCTACCATAAGTAAATACCATTAGTTGAAGGTAGCTTTCATTAACTATGACTTCAGAACGAAAAACACCTCAGTCCCGTGACCATGGGTATATAAAGTGCCCAAAAAATAAAATTATCCGTAAAAGTTTTATTTCAAGTGGTAGGTATTTGTTGAAGCCCATCTGGGTACCTATTTACCACGACATTTGTCACCAGATAGCAGTGTGTGGACTGCTGTGTTACGGTCTGATAGGCAAAGAAAGCCAGTACAATAACAGACTGTGAGGCATTCCACCTCGTCCGCAGAGTAGCCTGTCTGTGGGCTATAGAAGCCATTTTTTATAAAACTTAATTGACAAACATCAGTCCACCTGATGGTAAGTCAGACTACCTATACTTACTTATTTTAATAATAACAAAAGAATGTATGAAGAAAATAAAATAAAACTGAATAATTACATTTGGCTCAATCATTTATTCTGAATAATAATACACAATATTGCAATTTGACATGTACAAAAATTTCATACCAACATACTTATTTTATCCTAGTGGCTATGGTGAACAATAGTGCTTGGGTAGCTGGAGATCAATTTGGTTACGCCAATTGAGTGACCGATGCCTGAAGAAAGACCGGACAAACCGTAACCGGCGCCGTAACCATATCCTAGAGAATACCCTGATCCAAGACCCGATGAGATACGAATTCCTGAACTAAGACCCGAACTGATTCCAGAACCTATTCCGACGGTATAGCCTGAGCCAATTCCTGTGCCGTAGCTCAAGCCCGCTCCTGAGCCGTAACTCAAACCCGCTCCTGAGCCGTAGCTCAAGCCCACTCCTGAGCCCAAGCCCACCCCTGACCCCAACGCCAAGCCCACTCCTGAGCCCAAGCCCACTCCTGAGCCCAATCCCACTCCTGATCCCAAACCCACTCCTGAGCCCAAGGCCAAACCCACTCCTGACCCAATACCTATGCCAGAACTAATTCCTGAGGCAAGACCTGAGGATACGCCTACAGCGACTGGGACTCTCCTTTCCACAACAACGGGCTGAGGTACGGGTACGGGCCTGTTCACGACCACGGGCTGCGGTACGGGTACGGGCCTGTCCACTTGTACGGGCACTGGCACTCTGACTGGACGATCCACGTAAACAGGTTGCGGTACTGCCACTTGACGGTCTACATACACTGGACGGTCAACAGCGACTTGCTTCTCTACTGTTACTGGGTATGGTACAGGAACCGAAACTGGCACTTTAATTGGATATGGCACTCTTTTCTCGTAATACACGGGGACATTTCGCGTAATCTCCACCGGCACTCTGTGAACAACGGGGACTGGTCGATCTACGGCCACTGGGTATGGTACTCGTACTGGCACTGGTACTTGTCTATCAACAGGTACGGGCACCGATACTGGAACAGGCACCTGTCGGTCGCGGGTGATCGTTCTGGTTACGAATCTTGGTACTTCTTGGCGCAAAATTACAGGGTTTGGTTCAACAGAGACTGATGTTTGGGCACCTCCTCCACCTCCAACGGCTATACCGGGTCCAGCAGAGATTGCTATTCCTGAACCACCACCAATAGCTCCGCCAAGACCAATAGCTCCGCCAAGACCAATAGCTCCGCCAAGACCAATAGCTCCACCAGCGCCAATACCTGTTGCTATCGCAGGGCCGGCTGACCCAATAGCTATTCCAGATCCAGCACCTAATCCAGATCCAATTGCTAATCCAGATCCTAAACCGTATCCAGATCCAACTGCTATCGCAGGTCCGGCAGATATTCCAGAAGAAATACCCAACGCGTGTCCAGGTGAAATAGATACAGCGGGTGCAGATGAAATAGATACAGCGGGCGCAGATGAAATAGATACGGCGGGTCCAGCTGATATCGAGCTAATTCCACCGCCATAACTAATTCCACTACTGTAACCGATTCCTCCGCCCAAACCGAGACCTAATGGAGAACCGAAGTGACCAGTAGAAAAAATGCCTCTCTTCACTCCTTTAACTGATGATCCCTCTTTAATTCCTTTCTCAAGTAGTTCTGATACTTTCGATTTGTCGTCGATCCCTTTTGCTGTGGTAAGACTGCTGCATACCAGCAGCAACTGTAAAAAAGATGAATTTAAGTTTTTATTTGTATTAACATTTTTTGTATGAATATATTTATCGATAGTGTTCTTTTGATGTTGCCTTTTCATCATGATTATCGTTATCATAGCCGCCACTAACAACTCTACTGATTACCAACAAAACACAATCACAAAACTCTACTCCCAGTCAAGATGTCACTCCATCGAGTACAAAAATTTATGCTTTTTTATTTTTTATTTTACTAGGATACCTTAAATTACAAAATAAAATAGAACCCTTTCCTTCAAATACATAATATCTATTGTTGGAGGCACTGCACTTCTATGAACATATTTAAGTAATAGGTACATTAGAAAAAAGGAAATATTTAATGATTAATTGAAGAATTATATGTAAGAAATATTATATACTGCTTCATATTCAAAAGTCAATTTTGCTTGATAAGTGTAGATATTACCAGTACTGCGATCCCGTTTACTACTCCAGTTAAATATATGAAAGCTATGTATATAAAGGCAAAGAATTATAATGGTCAAGTCAAAGTATACACTTTATAACTTAAAACCCCCGAACTTCAAAACCCCCGAAACAAAATAGCTGATGACCTTCCAACGGCTGAACCAATTTTGATAAAACATGTCTAAGAATAAACGCTAGAAAATCTGCTTTTAAATAAAAAAAAACCGCAGCCGAATCGGTTAACCTGTTAAGAGCTATGGGTACACATACAGACACACACAAACTTATTACATCCCTCTTTTACGTCGGGGGCTAAAAACTAAATAAGGCACTTGTAAAATCTAACCAACTAAAAATGCAAGTTTATTTTTTTTATCTAACCGATCGCAAAAAACTATTTAACAACTTTTTTAAAAAAAATTCTTTTTGATAGCCACACTAATGTTACTCCCATCAAACGGTAGTTATATTATTAGATTCAAAGGGTACGGAAAGCCAATATAACTGCAGACTAGAAAGTATTTATCCCCAAAATGTACATTGTACACAATTACCCGTGACCATGGGTGCTGGAAAGCACCCGAAACGTCGGGAATTAAAAATAAAAATAATTAAAAGTAAAATTAAACGCGTTAAAATCCGTAAAACTAGTTTTAATCAATGTGTAGTGTTCGCGTAAATATAAGAAATCATTAACCTTTTTAATTTAATAAATAAATAAATATTTTATATTTATTTTTATTATCTGAAAATTGAAAAATTTTACCTAAAGGAAAAGTCCTTATCTTTCAGATTTTTAAAAACTATGTACACCTTCTACAACTTTTACATTATACGAGTAAAGTTTAAAAAGCATATAATTCTAAAACCTTGTAACGTACAGATGTGTTTTCTATAATAGTTAATGAGTAGAATTTGGACATCAGCAACAAAACGAAGAATTAGCACCAAATTGGTTTGTTACTGTTGGATAATTTTGAAATCAAAAGTTATATTAGTAAGTATTTATATTTCGTTTTTCCCGCCTACGGTACGGTAGGTACTCAATTGAGGGAAAAGGATTTCCTTTGACGGTAAATCTTGCTAATGATTGTACCAGTCCAGTTATTTATGTTTGACGACGAATTAAAGCATTACTAAATTAAGCAAATTGTAAAATGGGCCCTATAAATACTCCTTGCGAAATAGGCTCAATCAAGATTCTATTCGGTCCTCAGATATGGAGCCTTAACCCGTCGCGAAGTGTTCTAGATTATTAAACATACTAACCAGTCCCGTATTTGAAAATTTGAATTATTCATAGGATATAACTAGTGCAAAATTATATTCAAAAATGCAGCGCAGAGATTTAAGGACTTATAATATTATTTTTTTTCTTTTCATGTGTTTTTACTTTTGAAAGTGATGATGAAGTCTTGGATGCTTAATCGCACTGCCGTAGCGTAAAAAAACCTTTTCTTTGTTGCCTTTAAGACACCTAAATTTAAAAAATCTAAATCCGATAGAAAGGCAGACACCGCCGAATTATTAAACTCTTTTGTTGTACACGCATTTACGTTTATAACCGAAAACCTCAATGTTAAATATTAAAGAGTTTCAATTACGCTACTAACATATTAATTTTCATTAATTAAAGATTCTTTACTATCAAAGTCAATTCACGGCATTATTTGCCATAGTTGCCACGCTTGGCAAGCGGACTTGCTAGCAGTTTTGTTTTTTGATTAGGAAGACGCTACTGCCAATCTCCTGGTTTGTTTTTGCCGGTCGTCTCCTACGTCAAACACGGGATGATATTGGGTAGTGGATATAGTATCAACAATTTCATTACTGCCACAAGCAATCAAAGTCACTTTGTTTGCACACGTTAATTAAAAAAGCGCTTATGCTCTAACCTAACATGATTCACATAATCATAGCTTTCCGAGTATTGCAAATATACTTTAATGGTTTTAAATGTATATCGAAAAGATTTGGTTTCTGACCACGTACCAAAAATTATCGTAAGAGAAACTATTGATAATTTTTTTTTAATTCCTCGTTATAAAACATGTTCCATTCTCATCATCATCATCAGATCTTAAAAGTCCATAACTGGGCGTGAGCTTCTCCTGTTGTGAGGAGGATTTAACATAATCGTCACTTTTGGCAGACGAATTGACAATCGTAGTACAAGCCGTTTGTACGAAATTCTACGCTACTCCCCGTCTCGTACGTCCTCGTACGTATACGTACGTCTAGTACGACTAACGCAAATAAGATTACACCGCCATCTATTGAAAGCCATTAGGTCTTTCTGGAGTTTCGCAGTCGGTTAATTCGTTCGGCCGTTTTATTTATTTTATAGAATAAGAGTGACACGCGAGCACACACTCCTGATGGATGGAAAGTGAATGGTGTGGTCCATAGGCATCTATATTTATCCTGAATTAAAAACCAAACTGCAAATGCGTTGTCACCCTTGAGGACTGAGAATGAATTCCTCGTTTCCTTTAAAAAGGGTCTCAGATTACATTCACAACACGAAACACAGCTGCATTGAGTTTTTATTATATGCTGGTATTCTGTGAGAGTGCGGTCCCTCCCCTGCTGAGCCAACCCTTTCATGCTACAACCATAATATATCTGCAGCACAGCTCTACCACGGATGATATAAAATTAATTAACTTAAATTATTTTAATGACATTTAATCAATAATTTTACGTGGCAGTATTTTATACTATTTTATTTATTTATTCATTTTAGTAATGCCTTATTTTAAAAAGTTTTCGCAGTACCTACTAACAAACTATATAAAAGAGAATTTGGACCGATTGATTAATTCGACAATGTCTTACTTTGGATTAGCCAACGTTACTGTCTGCAAAAGAAGTTGTTTCAATTGGGAAATTGTTCCGCACAGTTATCTAAACAAGCTGTTATAATATTGATTTAAGCTGTTTACAAGTTTTCAGAATTTATATTATGAATTAACATCTGGTGAACTGGTTTATAATTATCATATTCTAAAAAACTGACGACTCTTTCTACACCTTCGACTACTAAAGCGCTTTAAACATAGTGTTTGAAACTCTTGTAATCCACTACAAGGGTTACAAGAGTTTCGTAATAATTTCACTGGACTGGTAACTCTATTTAAAAAAAACCTACGAATTTTTTGGCGCTCTTAGTGTTTTTCATATTTTATTAAATTTACAATAGAAACAAAATTAACGTTTTTTTACTATGTATGAGAAGGATTTACAGGTATAATAACTAAAATATTAAATTTAGTATAATATTTACTTGTAAAATATTTTTAATAAGTAAAATAAATAATAGAAATTAAGTTTGAAAAAGGGTAGATTTTTGTATGTATTAATTAAAAACCTTACCATTAAAACTGGGATCCTAGCCATTTTGGTAAAAACGAAAATTTCCGTTGTAGCCAAATCACATTACTTTATAAATCGATTTTGTTTACTATCGCCCGAACGAATCGATATGTCGTGTCACTCTGCTGTCCAGACTCTGAAGACTGCGTTTATATAGATACAAGAATCACTGACTTCTTACGTACATTTCATGTTGCTATCCTACTGTGTCATACTTAAGGACTGCATACATGCACCGGTTTGGCTACATCTAAATTAAAATAAATTAGAACTACCTAGTGCCGAAATGTCTTAATGTATTAATGAAATTACGAATTAAATTTGTGTATAATTATATGTATGTCTCAGGAAAATACTTTTTGGCATTTCTTGAGGGAGGTCTTTGTTCAGAGTTAACATGTAAAGGGCAGTGATGATGATGAAATATACTCGTATTTATTCCTCCGACGGAACAGAATAAAATTTCGTTTTTAATGTCTTTTTTTCATATCTATAACGATAACAAAATGAGACTCCGCTGACCGGGGAGGAAACGGTGAAAGAAACTCCGCAGATGTCCAGTTGTTTGTCATTTTTTTTTAATTTAGTATTACAATAGCGTATTATTAGTATATACCAAATGTAAAATAATAACTGACCCGACAGAAACTGAAGCATACTCTATGGTCCACTCAAAAAAAAGGATGTTAAAAATTTTGAGCTTATCAGTATATAGCACAGCTGACAAGACGAAGTCTCGTAAGCAGCACTTGTTCACATTTTTTTATAGGATAGGGTGACAAACGAGCACACAGTCCATCTGAAGGTAATTGGTTGCTGTGGCCCATAGACATCTACATCTATCCTCGACATTTATGTCGCAAGATGATGATCGTGATGATGATGATGGTACATAACCATACCGTGCCGTGACAATTAAGTGGATAATCGTATGCCTTAACCCTTAAATGCATGATTTGTTCTTATTACGTAGGAAAAATATACGTAGTAGACATGTACATGCCTAGGTAGAGAAAAATAATAATAAAAATAAAAAATCTTTTTTATAGCTTTTAATTAAAAAAAACAACTGTTGCATAAATACAACACAATGCATTTACTAGAAATAATTACATATGAAAGTTTTTAAAACAATTCCTAGATTTAGTAAGGCAAAGGGTTACTCCACACATCTCACACTTTGTTTGTGTATATCCCATGCACCCAGGCATTTTGCATCTACTGCGGGCGCAATCATCAGGCCAGTGACCAACATTATCTGTCCTGATATCTTTAGGTAGAACATGCTGAATGGTCCTCTACTTTTCTTGGCTTGTATTGCCATTTCAACGCTGTTACTGGTGCTGGGCCTTCCTCGTTTGTTACAGAGTTCAGATGCATTATTTATACTAGCTAGAACCTCAGCTAGTACCAGTCTATATTGACACAAATTCAGAATTGATGAAGTTGCTTCAGTACCTTTCAAGTTTTATAAACAAGCCAGGAATTTATTACTGTCATATCCAACAGATGGTAAAATATACGTAGGTACCACTTACAGCTTCTCATAGATATACGATACCTACCAATGAAGCTATCCAGAAGATCCACCCCGCCCATATGGGCATTATACTCTTTTATTACACGTGGGCATGTAATCTTGATCCTGGTCTTATTAACTTGGTCGGATCTTTCTACTAGAGAAACAGGTTCTGCACCAACATATGAAGATAGGAAAGTGACCGGTTTATTGTCCTTCCAACTTACAGCTGTCAAATCAACACCTTCAAAGCTAGTAATTTGCTCTTCATAACTACCCCGGGGGACAGATCATTAGTGATTTTTTGTCAGGTAGTTTGCAGTTTACAAGTCTGTTAGATTGTACAGTACCCAGGCTATCCCTTGTTTAGCAAGATGGGTAACTAGTGGAACAGAGGTATAAAAATTATCAAAATATGTTGTGGTTGATATACCTTGGTACACCTCTGGCTAGCCGGATAACAATATTCCCCACAGTCCAAAATCTGGTTCATCTTGAAACCGTCTGAATACCGAGCAAACCGAGTTCGACTTCATCAATCAAGTGCAATTTATCATTTCCTGACCCCGCTTTGGTTTCCAGATATCTTGGCACTACACATTTGACTACTGACACATTTGGTACGTATTTCTTCCGTTTAACAGCAATATACCGCCTGCTTTGTTCCGGTTTAAAAGTTAAAAAAGTGACTGCAGTCTATTATAGTCTATTATAATATAGTCTATTATATTATTACACCTATTAAAATACTACCTTATAAGTCCACTGCTGAACATAGACCTTCCTTTAAACTGTTTCAATGTTTATGTGTTAATATTTATTTTCCATAGATGCCACGCTTGGCAGGGGTTGGCATTTATTTTCATAGAATAAGGGTGACAAACAAGCACACCTGATGGTTATTGGATGCTGTGGCCCATAGACATCTATATTTATCCTCGATTAAGAATCAAAACGCAGATGCGTTGTCACCCGTAAGAACTAAGATGGAATGCCTCGTTTCCAGTAAAAAGGATCTCCAGATCTCTACACTCACCATACGAAACAGCAGTATTAAGCTGCTATTTTACGCTGGTATTCTGTGAGAGGGTAGTCGTTCCCCGGTCGAGCCGACCAATTCGTGATACAACCATAATATCGGTACAGCGTGGCTCTACCGTCAAGAGCCGTGGTAGCTCAGATGGTTAACGCTCGCTGTAAATATAACAGAACGCGAGTAAACCCGGTTCGATCCCCGCCGGCACCAATGAAATTGTTAATTGCAATTTTAAGTGCTGATTTACCACGTGCTCGGCGGTGAAGGAAAACATCGTGAGAAAACCTGCATGTCTGAGGAATAAGAAAAAAATATATTTCGAGGGCACGTGAAGTTCGCCAACACGCATTTGGGCAGCGCGGCGGACACTTCCTTGCCCTAAAACCCTCTCAGAAATGAGGGGAGGCCTGTGCCCAGCAGTGGGACGTATATAGGCTGTAACGTAACGTAACGTGGCTCTACCTCGATATATTTTTTACTTGTTATTAGGATGAGGCTGCTGCCGATCTGGTTCATTTCGCTCTGTCGGCTCTAACCCCACCCACGGGCTACGGTTTCGTAGTTTAATATGTTTCAATTTTTTTTGCAGATATCGATGGACTAATAACCCCTTTTATGTAATAAAGAACTTAGTGTGTGTGTAGTTCGTAATGTCCGACGTAATTGTGACAGGTATCTAACTGCTTTCCGTATGAGGAAGTCTAAAGTCGCTTCGTAAGCTTTGCATACCAACATTTTAATTCAGTATTTATTCTCAGGCTATTTTTAAGACAGTACAATCATATCATATCATATCATAAAGTTAAAATTAAAGTTACAGTCTATATACATCTCGTTGCTTGGCACACTTGGCAGATGTAGTAGTGTACAATAAGGTATCTCAAAACTTCTTAGAATTAAGGTCACGCCGACTCCTCCGTAAACTTGGCATACCAACGTTTTAATTCAGTTTTTATTCTCAGGCTTTTTTAAGACAGTACAACTAATATGTTAATAAAGTTGAAAATAAAGTTACAGTCTATATAAACCTCGTTGCTTGGCAAATTTGGCAGATGTAATAGTGTACAATAAGGAATGTCAAAACTTCTTAGAATAAGGGTCACACTGACTCCTCCACTAAGCCCCAATGGTCAAGACTTATCTAGCTCATTATACCGACATACCCACTGTTGTTTTTAATTACGCACTTACGTTTCAGACTTAACCAGTGAGTGAGATATCTATGATACAGTGCGTGTTAGAGTTATCGTTTTATTATTTCGAATGTCTCGTTGGTCTATTGTATACTTTGTTGGTCTATTGTATGCTTCTTTGGTCTAGTGTATGCTTCGTTGATCTAGTGTATGCCTCATTGGTCTAGTGTATGCTTCGTTCTAGTGTCTAGTAAAGTGGTTGTTAATGCATATCATGTGATCCCGGTTCATACCTTGGGTCGGGCCAAAAGTCAACAAATTTCTGATAAGAAATTCACAGTAAGAGCCTGGAATCAGGAATTTGGTGGTTTCACCCCCGTGCTTCTCATTCCTGAAATTTACCGTTACCGTTATAGTCTGTTAAAACTGTTGATAAGAGGCCTGCCCCTTAGATTGCCTCATATGGTTGGCAAACGCAGTTTTTTTTTATTTTTAGTCATTATTAAAAATACGCTTCAGCCCATCTCTTGATTTGTTTCCCTCTCTCGCCTCTTACGACACCCACGAGATGATATGGGGTGGTGATATTCTTACACCCACCGTTACTACACCGTATAAAATTAAAAGGGCTTTAGAGTAAGGAAATATCCGCCATGCAACCCCAATGCGTGTTATTGGACTTCACATTTGTTCGAAATTTAGTAATTAACTACTATGTAAGGTACAGAATTTCATTGCACGTTTATTAACCGGTTCGAATAACTAAGCACATTGACGTTATACCAGTGTTAATATATAGGATTACCTCACTGAGCTTCGTATATTTTATTTCATAAAAGTATGGGTGACAATCGAGCACACAGTCTACCTGGTGGTGATTTTTTTATAGAATAAAGATGACAAACGATCACATAGACCACCTGATGATAAGTGGATGATAGACATCTACATTTATCCTTAATTAAGACAAAAAATGCAGTGCGATGTAACCCTTGTGGACTATGATGGAATGCCTCGTTTTGAGTAAAAAGGGTCTCCGGTTCTCTACACTCACTTTTGCTTGTTTTGCGCTGGTATTCTGTGAGAGCATTATCCTACCCCAGTCGTGCGTGATTCGTACTCCAATCGTAATATAGCTGCAGCGTGGCTCTATCTCGTAGAAATAAAATAATTGCATGCTGTGACCCATAAATATCTACATCTATCACAGATTAAGATTCAAAGTGCAAAAACTCTGTTACAATGCGCGTCATCCCTAAGGATTCAAATGAGATCTCAAAAGCTAAAAAATAAAGCCTTAATTCCTGACTTGGCAGTCAGTGGAAAAGGAAAGCTC